GCAAGGAAATTAAAGAACAAAATCAGGTTATTCCATCTTCCCTCCTCTTTTCCCATTTTGCTGTGAACCTTACCTTCCTACTAGGCTGAACTCTTCAGTGTCTGAATACAATATTTTCGTCTCCAATATTTTTGCCCTGCCCTTGGCCCCAACAACAGTATAAAAGCCCTTGCCTCTAGCATCTCCAGGCTGACTCACCTGAATCCAGCTCCTCCGTAGTCCATTACAAAAAAAAAAAAAAAAAAACCCACTGCCGTCAAGTCAGGTCTGACTCATAGTGACCCTCCTTGGGTTTCCCATAGTGACCCTCCTTCGGTTTCTGAGGCAATATCACTACAGAAGTAGATTGCCCGACCTTCCTTCCAAGGAGTGGCTGGTGGGTTTGAACTGTCAGCCTTCTGGTTAGCAGTCAATGCCTTAGGCACTATACCACCAGAGCTCCCGCACAGTCCATTAGAAAAGAGTATTTCCCACTTTGATGTCCAAAATGGTTTTTTGTTTCTGTTAACAGAATGATAATTTATTAATTTATGGGGGAAAAAAATAGAAGCAGCTGGTGAACTTTTCTGTGAATTTTACAGCGCACACCAATTAACATCTGGGAAAGGGAATTTCAGAGTGCCTGGGTTCCCAGTAAAGGTTACTTCCAGCTCCTGCTTCCCTTTTTGCCTGCTCATTTTATTCAATTGTATTCTGCTTTTTTTTTGCCACTTAACTGTTGTATGTAAAAAGTCCTCTCCCCATTGAATTCTTTGAATTTGAAAATATATACTGGGCTCCTTTTATGCACATTAAAATCATTAGATAAAATAGGTATCTCAAATATAAATAAGTCCTAATATCCATTTTCATAGAACTTTCAATCTGCAGACAATAAGAGACAAATATACTAATATCTATATTATATAGACAATGGTAATTGCCATAAAAGACATCATTATCGTAATAATAAACACAACCCTTTATTGAAAGATTACTATGTTCCAGACATTTTTTCATACTTTTTTTTATTTGTTGTTGTTGTTATATGCCATCGAGTCAGACCCGACTCATAGCGACCCCTCCTTGGATTTCTGAGGCAGTATCACTACGGAAGTAGATTGCCTCATCTTCCTTCCAAGGAGTGGCTGGTGGGTTTGAACCGCCAGCCTTCTGGTTAGCAGTCAAGTGCCTTAGGCACTATGCTACCAGAGCTCCCTTTTTTCTTTAGTATGGTGAAAATGTACACAACGCAACATTCCCAATTCAATAATGTCACATGTATAATTCACTGACACTCATTACATTCTTCCTGTTGCACAACCACTAACTATTGCTATCCTTTTCCAAATTATTCTACCACTATTAACATAAACTCAATACCCCCTAAGCAAAAACTTCTTTTCCCCTCTTTTCCATACCTAATAACCATTAACAATCTTTGGTTTCTATATTTTTGCTCATTTCATATAAATGAGATCATTTACCAGAAGGCTGCCAGTTCCAACCCACCAGCTACTCCTCTGAAGGAAGGTTGGGCAATCTACTTCTGTAATGATACCACCTCAGAAACCCAAGAAGGGGTCGCTGTGAGTTGGGTACATAACAACAACATATGATCATTTATATAGTGTTTGTCCTTTTGCAATTGATCTATTTCACTCAAATAATGTTTTCCAGGTTCATCCATGTTTTGGCATGCATTAGGACTTCATTTCTCTCCATGGTTGAGTAATACTCCATTATATGTATATATCCCATTTTGTTTATCCATTCATCTGTTAATGATGTTTGTTGGATGTTTTCGCATTTTGGCTATTGTGAGAAGTGTGGCAGTGAGCGTTGGTGTACAGGTTTCTGTTTGCATTCCTAGTTTCATTTCTCCTAGATATATACCTAGAATTGGGATTGCTGGGTCATATGGCAGTGGTAGTTCTAAGGATCTCTGGTGGGGTAGTGCCTAAGGCATTTGACTGCTAACCAGAAGGCTGATGGTTCAAACCCACCAGCCAAACCTTGGAAAGAAGGTTGGGCAATCTACTTCCATAGTGATACTGCCTCAGAAAACCAAGGAGATGTTGCTATGAGTCAGAGCCACCTCCAAGGCGGAGAGTTTGTTTGTTTATTTTATGGTAGTTCTATGTTCAACTTTTTGAGAAATCATCAAACTGTTTTCCACAGTGGCTGTTTCATTTTACATTCACCAGCAATAGATGAAAGTTCCAGTTTCTCCAAAGCCTCTGTTTTATATATAGATATAGATATCTCACTGCTGTCACGTTGGATCCTACTTATAGAAACCCATCATTGGGTTTCTGAGGAGGTATCACTACAGAAGTAGATTGCCCAACTTCCTTTCCAAGGAGTGGCTGGTGGATTTGAACTCCAAGCCTTCTGAATAAGAGTCAAATGCCTTAGGCACTACAGCACCAGAGCTCCCAGATATAGATATCGATATCAGATATAGATACAGATACGAACCTCTCACAAACACACCAAGAAGTGGATCATTTTGTCCTGCTTTGAAGAGAAGGAGAATAAGGTTTAGACAGGTTTAGAGCACTGCATAATCACCAATAGTTAACGGTAATGCTTCACTTCTACTCCAAAGTCTTAGCTCTTAACCCTGATAAGAAGTTCGAAAGAAGTGAAAATAATGTCGAGTTGGGACATCAGGAAAGTATTCATGAAGTGAATCATTTTTGGGATCGATTTTGAAAAATGTTTAAAATTTTGAGAAACAGAGATGGATAAGCCAGAAATTCAAGTGAGAAATGAATACAACTAATGATCACACATATGCAACGAGCAATCATTAAAGACATGTGAATAGAGGATAGGGTGTATTTAAGAGGCTAAGGCCAGGTTGGAGCCAGATGGTAAATAGCTTCCAGGCTGAAGAATTTGCACTTAAATGAGATAATTGTGGTTGTGGATTCTGACTCAAAGTAACAATGAAGGACAGAGAAGAATTTCCTAGATTTCCTATCTGACTGCTAACCAGAAGGCTGGAGGTTCAAACCCATCAGCCACTCCTCGGAAGGAAGATGGGGCAATCTACTTCCGTAGTGATACTGCCTTGAAAACCCAAGGAGGGGTCGCTATGGGTTGGTTCTGACTCGACAGCACATAACAACAACAACAACAATCTCTACTGGGGGAGCTCTAGTAGCATTGTGCCTAAGGCACTTGACTGCTAACCAGAAGGCTGGCAGTTCAAACCCACCAGCCACTCCTAGGAAGGAAGATGGAGCAATCTACTTCTGTAGTGATACTGCCTCGGAAACCCAAGGAGGGCTCACTATGTGTAGGGTCCGACTCGACGGCACATACCAACAACAACAGTCTTTACTGGAGAAGATCATCAGGTCTTTTCTCTTGCAGAGGAGCAGCAACTTAACAATTAGCCATGAGGGATCTTTGGTTAAAGAAGGTAGTAGGGTATAGAGCCACATCTGCAACACTGACCCTTACTTGCCAACAAGATAGATAAGGCTTTATAACCTGAGAGTCAAATTAGGGGGGAAAAAAAAAGAGAGAGAGAGAGAGAGAGAACATGGAAACTGCTCGGAACTGAAAATTACAAGGGCAATTTGAACAATAGAAGACAAGGGGAATTCTTGGTGACAGTAATTGTGTCACTGAAAGAGAGAAAGATCAAGAGACTGGACAGTAGGAGAATGAAGAGTCCACAGAATTTAGAGAATGGAAGAGAGGAAAAACAGGTGATTAGAAAGGGCAAGTTCAGTTTGATATCTTAAAGGCAAAGCAGGTTTGAATCATGGGTAATACGGTATGATGTTCCCAGTGGTTACAGGGGGATTAGAGATGCAGGTCACTGGGGTTGCACCGAAGAAAGTTACCATGAACCCTCAACATCTAGTTTAGTGCCTGACAGTAATTAAATAAATGTGAGTGTAAAGTATTAATCTGGTCATCAGCAAAACCCAAACCAAACCAATCTCCATCGAGTCAGTTCCAACTCATCTCTATAAGGCAGAGTAGAACTGTCCCAGAGGGTTTCCAAGGCTATAAGTATTTACAGAAGCAGACCGCCTCATCTTTGTCCATGGAGTGGCTGGTGGGTTTGAACTGCCAAAACCACCTTCAATAACCAGGGAAGCAGATGGTAACTGAATGAGATGCCAACATCTAAGAAGATGTCACCAGAAGTGAGCAGGTCACCAGAAAAATTAAGTCATTATGAGAAGTGGGAAAATCTAGGATAATGAAATGTCATGATACTCAAAAAGGAAAAAAAAAAAAAAGAGTTGAAGAATAGTAACAGAAAAATAGTAAACTTCAGAAATAGAGAAAATGTGTGCTCTAGTTCTCATTTTTCCTTTAGCAATACCTGGGCATATTACTCAATAATAATTAATCAAACATAAAGGAACTTTTTAGTATAGTATGGTTAGCAGAAAGCAGAATTATGGGATGTTTACAAACAGAATACTATTTTCCAAAATATTCAATGAAAGTGAACATCTTACACCCATACCTCGGGAGAAACCTGAGTCAGGAAGCGCTTCCTCATGGCTGAGGGGCTCTTGGTAGAGAGCAGAGTCATCAGACAGATGGACCCTAGAGGGTGGAGCCAGGCCTTCCTGACATGGCTGCCTGGGCCCCACACATCATCCACAATCCTATATTCTGGAAGCACTCTCTTCCCTGGTCCTTAGCTACCAGTATAAGAATCTGGGTCACAGGGATTGGAGCTCTGACAGTCACTGGCATCTAATAAGTAACCACTATTGATTTCCCAGTCTCAGACATCACCCCCACTTCCCTTTCAGCAGCTCTGATTGCTGGCACTAGTGGGCAGGTCTGAAAAAGTCACTCTCATGTGCTCTCCATCCCCCACAGTCACCCATATGTGCATATAAGCCTTGGAAAGCCTGAGGTCCAAGAATGTGAATCCTTACATAACTGAGCTAGAACCCTGGTGGACACAGCCAGTGTGCCATCTGCTACTCTCATCCTGGTCACTGGTGCTATTGTAACAGCCCCAAGACAAGAACATGGACAAGCTGTTGCTTTGGGTCTCTGTCCTCATCAGTCTCTCAGAAGCCTTTGTTCAGACAGGTAAGGAGGTCAGGGGTTGGTGAAGGAGAATAAGATGAGAAAAGAGATTCAATCTGTGATTTTTCTTTCCTGCATTTATATTCATTTTTTCCCCCCACAGACCTCAGCGGGAATGTGTTTGTGTTTCCTAGAGAATCTTCTAGTGACCATGTGAACTTGTTCACAAAGTTGGATAAACCTCTGCAGAACTTTACCTTGTGTTTTCGAGCCTATAGTGACCTCTCCCGACACTACAGCCTCTTTTCCTACAATACCCAAGACAAGGATAATGAGCTACTAGTTTTTAAAGAGAAAATTGGACAGTATGCTCTATACATAGGAAAAGCCAGAGTTACATCAAAAGTTCTTGAGACGTTTCCTGACCCAGTGCACATCTGTACCAGCTGGGAGTCCTCCTCGGGCATTGCTGAGTTCTGGGTCAATGGGAAGCCTTTGGTGAGGAAGGGTGTAAAGCAGGGATATTCTATTGGAGCTCACCCCAAGATTGTCTTGGGACAGGAGCAGGACAACTATGGGGGTGGGTTTGATAAGAGCCAGTCCTTCGTGGGAGAGATAGGGGATTTGTACATGTGGGATTCTGTGCTGTCTGCAGAAGATATCCAGAATGCATATCATGGCTTCCCCATCAATCCTAATATCCTGAACTGGCAGGCTCTGAACTATGAGATCAAAGGATATGTCATCGTCAAGCCCCTGGTGTGGGCCTGAGGTCTTGACCTAACAACAGCACTTGAAAATAAAATGATCAATATATAAGAGATCTGCTTAAGGCAACCAGATACCAGATCCTGTATCTGTGTCTCTTTCTTCTTTGAGTTTCCTGTCTATATGTCTGTGTAATAAATAAAATACTGCTTACAACATCTGTAATTGTTTAGTGCTTATCATAGTCCCAAACATTTTCTCTTACATATATTTATTTGGTAATTGTTGTTTTATTATCCAGAAAAATCAGATTTTAAAGTATGAAGCCACCACCTGTCTGTCAATTTGTCATATTGTGGTGATTTGAGGGTTGCTCTGGTAGCATAGTGCCAAAGGCACTTGACTGCTTACCAGAAGGTTGGCAGTTCAAACCTACCAGCCACTCCTCGGAAGAAAGGTTGGGCAATCTACTTCCATAGCGATACTGCCTCAGAAACCCAAAGAGGGGTCACTGTGAGTCAGGTCCAACTCGATGGCACATAACAACAACATAGTGTTGGAAGCTAGGCCACTGATATTTCAAATACCAGCAGGGTTACCCATGGTGGACAGGTTCCAGTGGAGATCCAAAATAAGACAGCCTAGAAAGAAAAGTCTGATGATAGACTTCCAAACATTAACCGATGAAAACCCTATGGATCACAATAGAAAACTACCCAATATACTTCTAGATGAGTGTTCTGGTTGCTTAGTGCCACTCTGACAGGAATATGCCACCAATGGAATGGCCTTAACAAACAGGAGTTTATTCTTACAATTTGGAGGCTTTCAGTCCAAGTTCAAGTGCCAGGCTCCAGGGACTGAGTGAAAGCCCCTCAACCTTGGGGTCCAGCTCTGCCTCCTGCTCCCGGCCCACTGGAGCTAGAGGTGTTTCTTCACTCAGACAGCTGCTGGCTGCTGAGGCTGAGAAGCCCCAAGGTTGACAAGTAAAAAGGCACAGTCCCAATGTTATCAAACCACATGGCAGGCCATTAACTAAAGTCCATTGTAAGTCCCAAGGTTGGCAGAGCATAGCAGGCTGCTGAGCAACGACATGGCTACATGCAGGGTCCAAGCATGCCATAGGCTAGAGACTATCCCCAAGCCTTCTCCTTATATGCAGAAAGCAGACCACATCCCAAAGGCAGCTTGTGGTAGATTCCACCATGGAGCTGATTACCAGTCTCATCATGGGGAATAACTACCACCAGCTGCCCAGCCACTCAACCAGGCCCAGCCAAGTTAACACACAAATTTAGCCACCACAATGAGCACTCAAAATACAGTGGCTACAACAATGGACTTTAGAATACTTATGATTGGGGAGATGGCACAAGACCAGACAACATCTTATGCTATTGTACAAGGGGGTCTTTGTCTTAGCTACCGAGTGCTGCTGTGACAGAAATACCTTAAGTGAATGGCTTTAAAGAACATAAATTTGTTTTCTCACAGTTCTGGATGCTAACAGTCTAAATCAGGGTTTGGCCATAATTCCTTCCTTGTCAGTAGCCCCAGGCATTCCTCGGCTTCTTGGCAATCCTCACATGGCATCTGTCTTCCCTAGTTTGTACATGTCTGTGTCTATACTGCTCTTTTTATAACTCAGAAATGATTAGGTTTAAACAAACCCTACACTGAGATGACCTCGGCTGATTGATACATTGAGTGCATTATAATAGATTGCATTATGGAAGGTAATGTGCTCTATTGGAGGCCAACTAATTTAATCCCATGATTAAATCATGACATTAGATGGGCAGGATTTCAGTACATATTTTTGGTGACACAATTCAGTCCGTAACAATCACCATGAGTTGGAGTCAACTTGGCAGCAACTAAAAACATTACAGTATGTGGATGGAAACTTTGAAGTAACTAAAAAGTTATACTACAAATCAGACCATTCAATGAGGGGGTCAGTGATAACACTCAAAAGACCTAATAAATAACTCCTGTAAATAATCATTTTATGAACAATTCAAAATGTGTGTAGCATTGCAATAGAAATCCTTCTGTTTGGCTTTCTAGGAACAAGCCAATCAAAATGAGGTCTGAGGTTAAGACAGGGAGACAACAAGGCAGATGCTAATACAATGGCCCCAAAAATTGTTAGAATCAATTTTTCCTCTTTGGGATGTGCCCTATGAAGTATCCAAAGATCACTTCACAGGAAAGTTTATTTTAAAAATTTGCCATGTTCTGCCTATTTGGCAATATTTACATTGTTCATATCACCCCCAGCCATGTGGCAAAATAAATAAAAGAATATTTTATTTCACTTAAGAGAATAAATGAAATGTTAAAAAAAAAAACCAACCTAGTGAAACTTTTAGTCACTAAACTTGCCGTGGCCAAAAGTTCTCCCTCTGACACCCACAGCTATTCAATCAATATCATCAAAGCATTGGCTACCACCTTGTAAAATTGCAATAGGAGGCCCCATGCATTTAAGATTGTACCTCATACGGATCCAGCACTTACACAAAGGCTGGTATGAATCAATACTACAGAGGTCTGACAGATTATTCCCAAGCTTACTCTCAACAAGTAAAAGCAGTGTTGCATGACTCTCTTCTGAGAAAGGATGTGTTCCTCATAACTTACAAGCAGGAGAACTGATGCTCTAGAAGATACCAAAGAAGGTCAGCCATTAGACCACTCTGAACAGAATCATTACAGATCCTACTTACCACACACAGTACAGTCAAATAAAAAGGAATAGACCCCTGGGTACACATCTCCCAACTAAAAAGATTCCCCTCCCAAGTATAGTCCTGTAAACCAATATCTGACTTAAAACTCAAATTTACTTGAGACCACTGTACTCCAGAAATAGTTGCCATCACAAAAGTACACAACTTCCATCCAAAACTCCAAAACAAGACTCCCTGAGATTTCCCTAGCCAATTCCTTTCTTAATTTTGTTAACAATTTTAACAATTATCATGTTGTTATATTTATTCTTTGTGCTTCTTAAGAATATTTCAATCTCATCTCTGGCAATGTGGAAATCATTAAAGATACCAAGTTGGTTAGACAGGGATTTTAGCAATGTAGGAAATTTTTTGTTTGCAATTGCCATCTCATGATTTAAAACTTGCTTTACAGTTTCTTATTAACTGTCTTTCCATAAACTTGTACTATGACTACTAGAGAGACCTATTTATTCTTGTATAACAGATATTTCCACCAAAAACACGTGAAAATATTGTTTGCCCTAACATTGCCCAATGGTAGACTATTTGTTTTAATTTAACAACTCCCTCTGCCAAGAAACCTAAAACAAGTTTTCAGGGACAAGGTCAGTGTATTTTCAAATGGTGTCATTCATTCATCCAGTTATTTATTGAGCAATTACTCTATGCCAAGCACTATGTCAGATGCTGAAAATACATTATTTAGTGAAACAAATATAGTGCTTTCCTACTTGGAGTTTATGTTCTAATAAGCCTGCGTCATCTAAATATAGATTATTTCTAACAATGGTCATCCTAAATTGTAATCCAAGCTATCATATTGTATTTTGAGTTTTGTTTCCATGAATCTCCCATTTAAAACATTTCCATGGCTCCCCATACAGGGTCCAACTCACAATGAGCTTAAAGGACAGAGTAGAACTGCCCCATAGAGTTTCCAAGGCTATAATCTTTACAGAAGCAAACTGCCACATCTTTCTCCTGTAGAGCAGCTGTTGGGTTTGAATTGTTGATCTTTTGGTTAGCAGCTGAATGCTTAACCACTGTATCACCAGGGCTCTTTGGCTCCCCATATCTTACAGGATATAATTTAAACCCCTTAATATGGTTTAAAAAAAATTAAAAAAACAAACTCACTGCCGTGGAGTTGGATCCAACTCATAGTAACCCCTCTATTCTTCCTTCTGGGGAGTGGCTGGTAGGTTTGAACCGCCAGCCTTCTGGTTAGCAGTCAAATGCCTTAGGCACTATGCCACCAGAACTCCCTAACATGGTTTAATGCCCTCCATAACCTGGTACCTCACATATTTAGTCTTTCTTCTCTCTCGTGTTTATACCTTACACACTCCACCCCTCCTGAGTTAGAGTATTATTTATTCTTGGTGATCAGTTACAACTTCTTCATGGCCACTAGGAACTAGAATTAATCTAGTTTACTGTTTTTGTGAGCTCTTTGCCTCTTGAGATGTCTCTTGAAAATAACACAAGATGACCACACGTCAGCTGTCTTTTATGTGGCCTGACTGTATCCAAAAATAAACACTCATGCATCCTTTGTTCCTATAAATTCAAAGAGTCAAGGCTGATTTGAATGCGTACGCACTTTCCTGCTTCCACAGTGGCTTTAGATTTCGCAAGTTCTCTGAGTGTCCTAATCGAAACAAAACTCACCGTCCTGGAGTCACTGCTGACTCATAGTGACCTCTCCTTGGGTTTCCAAGGCAGTATCACTACAGTAGATTGCCCAACCTTCCTTCCTAGGAGTGGCTGGTGGGTTTGAACCATGAGTCTTCCGGTTAGCAGTCAGGTGCCTTAGGCACTAAGCCACCAGAACTCCCAAGTATCCCAATAGCAAAGAGCATATTTCAAGCTCTCGTGATTCCATGTAGCCCCCTTATTAGGACTGAGATGAAGGCATTAGAAAAACCACCACTTATTCTCTCAGGATAGTAGGAGTATAACCCCACCTCTCTCTCATTACAAACCTACAGCTCTCTCCAAAGAAATATCTACATAAAATTATTTCCCATTCCTACACACTATACACCTTGTCATGGCAGAGGGATAGAAGAATAATTAAGCTGGTCTTTAACCCTTTTTTTTTCTTTTGTAAGTTTTGCAAATGAGTGGGTCTATGTCATACTCTTTATCATCTGATATCTATCATATCAATGGCATGTCAAATCAAAATTGAGGAAAAAAAGACTTCCTTTTTAAAATTGTTTAAAACAGAGATGGAATTTCTAGTGACTTGCTTCAGGAGTGTTTTCAGGTATATTGGTAGTCAAAAAGGTGAAAACACCAGAAGTTACAGAGAAAATGACC